TCCTATTTTCGTTCTTGTGCAGGTTTACGATTTGGCTTCGACGTCGCTGTTCCAGACGTTCACTTCGTCCGCGAGCGCCTTCGATTCGTCCTCTCGGGCATTCTTCAACCCTGGAATGTTGGCGCTTCTATACTTCCCTGCTGAACACAAATACGCGGTGTATACTCCGCTGTTTGCGACATCTATGATTCCTCTGGCTATCGCTGCGTTACGGGAGTTCAAGATCTGGAAACAGCAGAGGAAACAGACAAATAATGGATAGTGATGATGACGTCTCTTTGAATTTTCTTGTCGCTTGTGGAATTACATCGCATTGCACCTCTTGGGCTCTTGAGTCTGATCGTGTGCGTTAGTAGAAGTTTTCAAAAGCTATCGCCGCAGGGCTGGCCATTTCGCATTTGGGAGGTGATCGAGAGCATCATGATCGTGGATAAGGTATATAGGTCGAATGTATTGGGACGTCGCTTCCGTTAAGCCGGCAGAGTGCTGCCATTTATCGTTCAAAGCTGCGCAAACGCATTGATATGGGTCGTGATAAAAAGGCTCTTGATGTGATACTTTAACGAATTGGCTATAGGCCATACAACTACTATATGATTTTGACCCTTTCAAATAGTTGCTCAAGCAATGGAGACTCGATCGAATAAGGGTTTGATAAACTCGCGAAGAAACAGTACTAACGGTAAGTAACCTTCAAGAGAGTTGATAATTATAACATGCTGTAAGTAACATGGTGATAGCTTCAAAAGTCGGAGTCACTAATACATAGACTACAGTTGTTGCCGAGGGATGCTTACTCAAAGAAGACTCTTGGAAAGATCCCAAGCGCTGCCCATCGACTCACGACTGAATGATCATCCACACAATAGGTATCGCCGATAAAGCGCTAGTCATTGACAACTTACAAGGCTATGGATTTTGCTTGATTTCAAACTTTGTAGTCAAACAATTCCGCGGCCTGCACACGCTGCCATCATTCAGACATGGTAGTTCCTTCAGGGTCAGCAACTTGCAGCCATAATCGAACTCCTTCTCATTCGATCCCAATTCTGAAACGGTAAGAATTTCCTTGGTTTCCAATTGAATGGGTTTTTATTGCTGCTTGCCCACAAAGTTGCATAAAATTGGTAATTTCTGCAGAGAAAAATGGAAGCCCAACCTCACTGTGTTCCTTTGTTGCTGTTCTCGATCCGAGAAATCTAGATAGAGTGTTCTTAAGCCTTTCTGCTCTCTTGGGTCGTTTGCTGCATGATCCACGTCTGATTCGATGGGCGGACCTCGATGCTCTTGCCGGGCGAAACTCTGTTACCAGAAAGCTTAGAACGCGGGGTTCCCTTGGGCCAATATTAATGCACTGTCTTCACGTTGCAAGATCCACGCGGACCCACTCTTTCAGAAATCGGGTTCGAATGGATCTGTCAGAGGCCACTCCTGCCAGGTTATTGAGGTCGTCCCATGAGTTCTCCACCGAGTGCCAGCCGCCATCCAGCCGTATAAACTCAAGGTTTTAACTTGGTGTATCGTACTGCGGTGGGCCGTTCTTTCGGTCCATTTACCAAGGCTTTGGTACTCTCGCTCCCTAGGGCTGAAATGGTTCCCTCAATCTAGGTACAAGCCTTTCTTGCTGATGGCTGGCTTGCTGTCTGCCTACATAGCACCACGCATCGGCATTCAAATCCCATAAACGCCGCTCTTTGCTTACAAGCCCGGTCGATGTTCGACGTCCTTCCCAAAGTTTTTGCTTCGTCCGTTGGCTTGGCGAAGACGGAAATTAATCTGTGGTGCTCGATAAAAGGTCTTTCGCCAAAATGAGGATGCGAGCGAGCCAAACCGGTTTGCGTAGCGCAAGGTCTGTCAAAATTTCAAAGACAGAGAAAATTGTCCTTGCACGGGATCTGCCTGTTTCAGATGCACGGCGAGTCCCGGCGTACATTGCGAGGGTGATGGATGTCAAGGGAATCCAGGCCAGACCGTGTACATAGGATGGGAATGAGGACTTTCGTGTGAAAGTACGGTCCAAGAGTAAGATGGATTGTTCATTGTCGTTCAGATAAACTCGGCATAGGATGACCCACAACACGTCCCAACGCCGTCTCTGTCACCCAGATTCGAACTGTAGCCATGAGGAGCTCACTGTGTTGTGCGAGGAAATGCCAAAGTGACAAGCTGTGTGCCATGGACGGAGATCGTTTGTTGGCGATGTTATATCTACGCACCGGGGAGAGTAGTTATAGATAGCCCTGCCAACAATGCATAGCTTTAGGCGCATGCCTAAAGTAAAACTGGTCAGATTGCTATTAGTATTAGTCAATGTCAATGTACAGCTGCTGACTGGGACAGACTGAATGTAAATGTATGACATAGTCTCAGAGGACACGAGGACGAACACACTTCGACATACATTGTTTTGCCAGACGCCCATGTATCAGGCTCGCGGCAGGGCTCTGGCCATATCTGCACGACAGGACACAAGAGCAGTGCAGGATGGTTCCGTGCAGTGACGTCCTAGGGCGCTCCATGTGTTTCATCAACCTTGATCAGGATAAATAACGCCCGTGCGCATCGTGCCGAGGAGGGTCCGACTCGTTATTTGAGCGCAGAAATTAAACTAGAAACACGACGACGGAGCTTTGTGATAGAGGTGGATTGACATATATGACACCGACCTAATGTTGGTTGCTAGTGCGCCATATTGTGGCGTTTTTTGATTCAGGGTTTACCCTGTAAAATGGGGTGTCAGGGATTCACTGAGGTCTCGATCAGTTTAACTCGCTTTACGTACCGTATGAGCTGTGCAGATTGCTATCAAGTGTGTAGGCCAGTGAGGGATCATAAACGCGAGCCCCGGCAGCTGTTCCAGATGGACTGCACGAAAAGACCCTTGTTTCTTGATTCGAACGCAGGCATCGATCATCATTGGGACCTAGAATGTTGCATACTCTGAAAGGGTAGTGACGGCCTAACCATTGTTAGCAGAGAACACCATTTGTTTGGACTAGACACTGGGAAGGGAGACCGTGCGTTCCACTGCTCAGAGCACTTCAAATTCATTTAGCAAGCGTCCGAGTTTGAGCTCGTCAGGCTTCAGGGCCTAGGGTTAGCAACAATAAATCAATCTCGAGCTTAGTACTTCGAAAAGTATACGAGAGCGTATTGTGTTCATTAGATGGCGTAGGGAGCCGAAATATCTTTGCCGAAAGGACAGGTGCAGTGGGGATGGTGGTGGAAGTTTGCCAAGCGGACCTCCGAGTCGGGACATTGCCACACTGGTCCGGCCCGGAAGGTGACGCACATCCATTCTGAGCCCTGCGGCGCGACTATCGTCTACTCAGGCGATGACCACAACAGTCCAATTCTCCATAGATCCCCCTCCCCACAGCACTTTCCTGACCAACTCTTGACCCGAGACGAGCGAGGACCATGTCAAACAAGCTGAATGTAGAAGGAACTCTGCTTTTCGAGCAGCCTTTCGTGCGGGTACGATCCTTATTCATTCGAAATACGGTGGTGTGTGAATCATCTGGAATCACCTTCTGTTAGGTCCCTTTCGAGAATTACCGCAAGGTCTTCCGAACATGTCAGAAGAACATAGAACGCGACCTAGGAAACGTTCAAACAACGGCAAATGATCTTGCGACAAAAGCCCAGAACGGAGATTTGGATCCAGAGGCATATGTTGCATCAATTGACGCCATGATCAGCAGGGTGGAAGGCTTGAAACAAAAGGTGTGATAAACTAGTGTTACTACTGACTTATACTAAGGCACATACAGATAACAAGCCTACAAGAGACATCCGGCAAGCCCACACTCGACGTCATGCGAGAACGACTGAATCACTTAGCAACAATTGACTCGAGCGAGCCACCTACCCCAAACGAATTCTCCAGGTGGGCAGATACGCGGCTAGACAGGTGGCTTGTAGACTGGTGCCTACGGTCTAACAAGGAAAAGACAGCGAAGCAGATTGCTAAGGAGAAAGGGATAGACGTGAGAGTTGCCTCCCTTCGGTATTCGTCTGGCTAACGGGTCGCTTAGACTCTTGTAGATATCGAGCTTTTCTCTGATATTCGAAGAATAGAAGCTGGACTTGCGCGGCACAGCTGCTCTGACGCTCTATCGTGGTGCAGTGAGAACAAAGCAGCTCTCAGGAAGATTAAGGTTCGTCTGAAGCGTTGGTACCGACGTGGTTTGTGCTAAAAATCCACCTGAAGAGTACACTTGAATTTGAACTGCGCCTACAAGAATACATTGAAATCTGTCGCGAACGCAAGTTTCTCGAAGCTATGGCATATATGAAGAAATACATGAGCTCCTGGCACGAAACACATCTCCCCCAGATCGAGCAAGCGTCTGCTCTCCTCGCCTTCCTCCCTGGCACTGACTGTGTGAGATATAAAGTTGGTATATTGCTGCTGTCTGACATCACCTCGCTAACGGTAAACTATAGCGGCTGTATGACCCTTCGAGATGGAACAAGCTCGTGCACTCCTTCAGGACGGCAATATACAGCCTCAATGGCCTCCCAAACGAACCATTACTCCACCTCGCATTATACGCCGGTTTGGTTGCCCTCAAGCTACATGCTTGCTATGATAGTTCCACCAAGAATGTTGACTGCCCTGTCTGCGACGGAGAATCTGGAAACAGCTCGACGCCTTTGGGTTTAGGGAAGTTGGCGGAAGAGGTGCCCTTCAGTCACCATTCAAACTCGACCATCGTCTGTCGGATTAGTGGGAAAATCATGGACGAAAATAATCCGCCCATGGCCTTCCCAAATGGACTGGTATACTCTAGAGAGGTATGTTCGGCCCCGTTTCCGATTCCCGCTATTGGAATTAATTTGTGTGCATTATCCAGGCCTTGACGGAAATGGCGGAGAAGGATAATGGAATAGTTACATGCATTCGCACCGGAGATCGGGCATTATTTACAGACCTCAAAAAAGTGTTCATCTAAGATTATTGTATGGCACATATAAAGAGACTGAGCAAAAGATAATGCCCCCTGGCTGACTCGAACAACCGACCTCATCATGAACTTGATACGAGTGATGCGCTCTACCAAACTGAGCTAAAGGGGCTCGGTACATTAATAAAGTGCTAACGGTCCGCCGACGCGGAGATTCCATTAAGGGGCCAAGTCCCGTCCTGCTCTTTCTTTCCAGCACTGTCGTCATCGTTTCTCGTTCCTCTTGCGTACCTACACCCACGATCACAAATGCCTGCCGGGATGGAAGAAAAGACGTCTGCATCCCAACTTCAGCGACCACCATGTCTTGACGACTTTGAAGTCGGGGAAGAAATTGCCTGGGGCTCTTTGGCAACGGTTGACAAAGTCCTGTTCAGAAGCAGCGAACACTGCAGCTAATGCGACGCTCAGATCGTAGAGGCCACTCATAAGAAGTCAGGGAAAATATACGCAATCAAAATCCTGAACAAAATGCAGCTGGCAAAGAAGAAAATGGTTCGGTCAGCTTTGGCGGAGAAGGATGCCCTAGTGGCTCTATCCAACAATCCCCATCCTGGAATTGTTCGCCTCGCTTACTGCTTCCAGGATGTAGAGAATCTATGTATGTATATTCTACTGAAAAGAAAGAATTTCTGATGTAGATCCGGTGCTTTAGATTTCGCAGAGGACCTGGCCCCAAACGGAGACCTGAAGACTCTAACGCTCAAGATGGGCTCCCTATCTTTGGATTGCTCGCGGTATTATGCTGCACAAATGCTGGATGCAATTCTATGGATGCATGATATGGGAGTCTCTCATCGTGACATAAAACCCGAGAATTGTTTATTGGACCATTCGATGCGTATCAAGATCGCAGATTTCGGTTCTGCATACGTGAATAAGAAAGGAGCACCTTTGAGTGGTAAGGGGGTTGTTCTGCGAAGCACAGCTTGGGCTGATATCCTATTCAGAACCTCGAACGAATACATTTGTCGGAACTGCAGCTTTTCTTTCCCCAGACGTACTCCTCCGATTGCTGTCAGACCCAAGAGGGTAAGTAGAATGGACCCCTGCATCGTCCCTTACTCACCAATCACAGCCCTGACTTGTGGGCTCTCGGCGCATGTTTGTTTTTCTATCTCTTTGGGACATATCCATTTGCTGGCGCCACAGATTATCTGATCATGGAACAGATCAAGAAATTGAACTACACCATTCCTGACGACGCCGATTCAGACGCAAAAGACATCATCAAGAAACTATTGGTATGTTTTCTTGCCAAATCCGATGCTTCGACGTGTCTGAACCAGGAAGTAGGTGCTCGACCCTTCCGAAAGACTAGGACTGCCCCCACAATCTTCTGTAGACGAACTTATGCAACATCCCTTTTTTGTTGGGCAGAAATCACTGAAAGTGCCGACTGAGGATGAAGGTCTTCCACAGGAATCAAGGAGATTTATAGATTGGGATAAATTATGGGCTATGCCACCTCCAGAACTCAAGTCAGGTGCCCGAGCTCCCAGAAGTGCCAGCGCTGTCCGCGAGGACAACGACATCACAGAGGATTTATGGGCCAAACTCGAAGAAATTCATCTGGTACAATGAAAGCCCAGAATCTGGGACAACTCAAGTTATAGGTATGCCGTAATTCATGACTGCTTCCTCACTCATTAGGATTAGTTTCCCTTCGACGAAGTTACACACGTTCACATACCCCACTGTAGCGATTCTAGTCGCATGTATCGGAAACAGCGCTTTATCGTCACTTCTATCATCTTCACTATCCCATGGGTTCGGACCCGGGGCCAGGTCTTGTTCTTCTGAATCGCTGCCAGAGTGGTGTAGCGCAGTGATAAGGCTCTATCGCTACTTTATCCCCTCGCATTCTTTCTTGAGTTTCTTATCTGTTGGAGTCCTTCCAAACTAGAGCTCCGCAGAAAGTCATACCCCGTATATGCAACTGTCAGTTGATGATATCGATGTTCGCATGTATGTAATTGGTTCACAGTATTCTGGGTTCTGTTTATATATCAATATCTATTTTATTTTATTTGATACGCATCCGGCGATATGGTGTGCGTTTGTGAACTCTAGACATCTGGGTGGTTTCGGACCTTCGACTCACTGCACATTATAATCTCCGCGAATCCGGACTTATGATTGAGGAGTTGAAGCTACAACATTTTGCAAGGAAGCACTTCCATGACATCTCCTTTGCCTTGCGGCGGACTTGGCCAAGGGCCTATTTGTCACTGAGTACGATGCTTGCACACCTGCACGCTGCACACGGCCTGGCAGCCACCGTCCAGTGGCCTGTGCTCAATTTCGTTCGGCATTTTCCGATCACCGGCTACAGCTTGTGCCGCCCACCCCGAGTCGAGACAGGAAGGAAGCTTTAACAACGACCAGCGACCCAACCTAGGTGACGGTAGGCAGCGCAGTTGCCATAACTTTGACTTTTGACTCACCTGTATCTGCAGGGCCGATACAAAACTATCCGGACACTCGGCGACCAAAGAATTAAGGACCGCTTTTCGACCAGGAAACCCAGTTGACTTTCTTGGAAATGGGAAAGACGGCCACGAATGTTCTGCGCCAGCGGGTTCCTCAAAACGAGGAGGAAGTGGGCACACATGGGGCCAAGGCCGCTTTGATTGCAACACAGACCAGGCAGTCTTCAAAGACGCTTTCATGGCTTGACATAGAGGATTGGCAGAGGGATAACGAATTCATCATTACCGGATACAGGAGGTGCGTCTCCGCCACTTTATCCAGATTCAATGTTTACTAAGTTGATACAGGTTGCAGTATAGCTGGAAAGGATGCTTGTCTTCTGTGTTCACATGTACTCCAACCCCTCGTTTCACTCCGAAATGAACGCTGACTAGTTGCACCGCAGATCTGCACAACGAGACCGGTATGTCACCGCTTGACTCATGCTTCACACATGAACCTGTCTAATATCTTATTACAGTAAACATTCATTCACACTTGTGGGGCGCGGCCTTGTTTATATATCTGCTCGCCTCGTTTTATCCTGCCTATGTCAGCGTTCACAGCGAGACAACATGGCAGGATAAACTGGTCGTTAACATTTTTCTTTTGTCCGCCATTTTCTGCCTTTTTGGCAGTGCTCTCTTTCACACGTCCATTTGCCATTCGAGAGAGGTGCGTTGAATTCATTTCTCAGCGCTCCCGAAATGCTCAAGTCGCGCAAAGGTTGCCACCCGCTGCCATGCTTTGGATTATACCGGGATTGTCGTCCTCATTGTTGGGTCCTTCTTTCCGTCAATATACTATGGATACTTCTGTCGCCCCCGCTTCCAATATTTCTGGTTGAGTCTATTATTTGTTATGGGTGTCGGTAATAAATGCTTCCTGCAATTTTAATATTCAAGTTGACTCAATGTTCTTTGTGTTTAGGTGCTGCCCGCATTGTACTCGACCCCGAATATGCAAAGCCGACTCACCGGGGAGCCCGCACAGCCGTGTTTATCGCCTTGGGCCTTTCTGCTGTAGCGCCTCTCGGACATTTGCTACTAACGACCCATCATTTCAGCGAACTCCTGTCCCAAATGGGACTCGGATGGCTCATAACATCCGGTGCTATGTATATCATCGGTGCTTTACTCTAGTGAGTCCAACAGCAACTCATTTCAGGGCGACTGTTTCTCACTGTGACCTGATCCAGCGCTAATCGCATCCCTGAAAGATTCCTACCTGGGACATTCGACCATTTCGGAGCATCTCATCAATTGTTCCATCTATTTGTGGTCTTGGCTGCACTTGCACATTTCAAGGGTGTACTGACGGCCATTGATTTCCGGATGCTGCAATCTCAGTGCAGCATCTGATACTACCGAGATTCGTTCAAGATTTGTTCCCGAACGACCACCGACATACCTCAGCCCTCCCTCAGCCAACAACAGTGATCAATAGACACTCTTCATTCGTTGGGAACTGACAACAATTACATCTTACGCGTTGCATTTGGACAAATACATTCTAGTTCATCCTTTGTATATTGTATAGAGCTGAGATCCGGAACTGGAGGGCACAGCACGATAGCCCATCGATCATGGGTCAAGAGTCGAAGTACGAGAGAAGGAAAGATTGTCATACATTTACGCCACCGGAATGCATGAAATAATTCGCTTCCGCTAAGAACTACAGTACCGTACCTTGGTGGTGTTCGCAATCCAGGCTCTTATCAACGGAGATTATGATGTTTAGGAGGTTAATGCCAGTGAGGCTGAGTGAGCACTCAAGCTGAAGCTGCTGAACCAACCCACTAGCCGGCGTTTGGTCGAGGCTTTGTGCGGCAGTACCGTTGGCATGTACTAGTAACAGTCACATAGGTATTAGGTCAGTACTATCGTCCGGGAGCTCAGCTTTCAATACGAAATATAAATATATTATTCCTACTGTAGGAGCGCACAGAACCTTCGCGGGGCATAATTTCTGCGTATGTAAAGAGTGCGATCGTGATCTATGATGTGTGAGCTAGGTGCTGCGTAACAGTGGCGGCGGCGTATATGTATTATGCCTGCTTTGGTTGTCCTTCATCCACACACACTCTCTCTTTCAAAAGATTTAACTCTTCCTGATATTTCGTCTTTCCTCTGAAGTAAAAGGACGCTCAGACGCAAACAGAAGGTTATGCAGTTTTAGGAAGGCCTGAGCGTGGTTCCTTTGGCGTTTCTCACCTAGCCAACAATTTGCACGAATCATCCTACGTATTTTGTCCGTAAGTACTGCTGGCTCTGCTGGTAGGACCCTGGAGTTAATTCTGAGGACCATGCATGCCGTGAAACAGTCACTTCTTCTAAGCTACCGCTACGCGTCCAGTACGTATCGGTCATTTTTATAGGTTCATCTTCAGCTGCCAGATCCCCGAGCCAACAAGCTCTGTTCCCCGGTATCCAAGGCCCTGAACATTCGTCACGATCCTCCAGATTCAAAGCCAAGATTCCCTTTCCTCTAATAAATCGATCTCGATGGACAGTTAGTGCCTTGGCTCCAGGAATTCCAGTTGTTCAAGAACTTTCGCACCGGTGCCAACAACTGTAACATCAACCCGGCTTTCGCACACTGGGAGAAGAAAATAGAGGAAAAACTGAAATTAATTTCTCT